ATCCACAGCTAAGTCAAACTCCTAAGGTCAGTCTGTCTGGTAGAGATGTTGAGAGAAGAGCCTCACGCCTGCAGCGACAGCCCCTGCGCTGGGCTGGGGGACTCCTAGGCCTGTGCCAGGTCACCCCAGGGCAGACAGTTTCACCAGGTACCTTACCCAAAACGAGTGGGGTGATCCCAGAGGCTTGCTCTCTAGTGGACTGAGCTGCCCTGCCCATCAGTGAGGGGCAGGGCACTTTGGGGATGGCTGGTGTGGCGCTATTGGACCTGGGGGCAGGGCTCCCAGGCTGCCGCCTGTTAGGCTGGCTGCAAACAGCTCAGCGTGGCTATATCTGCCAACATCCCACCTGAGCAGGGCCCGCACAGTGGCTCCTGCCAGGTGAGTGTGAGCCCAGGGTGGGTGGACACATCTGTACGGAGCGCCCCCCTCCCCTCAGCTCGGTGCTGTGGTCTGCTGCTACTGCTCCTGCTCCTAGTGGGGGAGCAGCTGCCAGGAGGAGCTCGAGGCCAAGGAGGGTCTGCCAGCTTCAGGCCCCAGCTCCCTCGGCACCCAGCACGGAGAAGGAAGTGAGCCTGATGTCACCTCTCAGCCCCGGAGAAGAGATAAAATAACAGCTCTGCGATGGGGCAGAGCAAGGAGGGGCCTTTGCCCTCACAGTGAGGCCCAGAGGCCAGGATAGGGGTGGAGACACCCAGGGCGGCGGCTAGGCCTGCAGCCCTTAAGAGCGAGCCTCGGTCTAGGGAGTTTTCACTCCCTGGAGACTGATGGGCTCTTGGACCCTGATCGGCCCAGTGGACACACACACTCACCACAAAATGCAAGGACCACAAAGCTCAAACCTGGGACCATAGTTGGGGAAGGGGGACAGGCTGGGCAGATGCCCTACTTAATAAAGGTTTTTAAGGAGCGGGTGAATGTGCTCATAACAGTCGCTGAAGTTGGGGAGCCTGGTGGGTGCCCCATGGCTGCCCCCGTAGCTGCTGCCACCTGCTGCTGCTGTTGCTGCTGCTGTTGCTGCTGTTGCTGCTGCTGCTGCTGGTTAAGGTTCCGGGCTGTGGACTCCTCAGCGGCGCGCAGCAGGAAGGTGTAGTTCCTCACCACCTCTTCTACCTTGGCCAGCAGCTCTTGGCGCTGGGCCTCCGAGCGCACGATGAACACCAGCCGCACGAAAGTCTCAATGAGGCTGCTCAGCACCTGGAAGCTGCCCGTGATGGCTGCCAGCATGTGAGTCGGGCTCTTGTCCACATTGGCCACACGGCGGCAGGAGGCCCGGAGCTCCTTGAACTTAAGAGCTAGCTCGAGTTTGTACTCAGAGATCTGAGAGACATAGGGCTTGGGGGCACGCGCCTCAGGGCTGGCCACACACTGCCGCAGGACTGTCAGTAGCTCGTTAGTGTCCAGCCGGGCAGCCAGGAAGCCATCAGGGAGGCCATAGGCATGGGCCCGCAGGGCATTGATCTTGGCCAGGCTGCCCTCGAAGGTGGACACCCGAAGGTCAATCTCCTGAGTGCGAGAGGCCTCGGGGTTGCTGCTGCTGCAGGTGGCAGCATCCAGCACCTGCAGGGTCCTGCTCACCACAGGCACCACCTGCTCGTCCAGCTTCATGCCAGGCAGAATCTTCATGGGGATGGAGTAGGAGAGCTCGTCCTTGCCATCACTGGTGTCATCCGCTATGTCACACTTGCGGTAGTAGAAGCAGTAGCGAATGGAGCAGCACTTGCCGCTCTCACTGTCCTCGTCCAGCTCAGCAGGCTTCCGGTATACCTCTTCGGGCAGTGAGAACACGGCCATCTGTCTGGGGCCTTTGGTCTCAGGGGTAACCTGGACATAGGAGGGCTCTCCTAGGGTTGGTGACTCCAGAGACTTGCTTTTGGGACCCAAGGCCAGGGGGAGGCCTGCCTCTACCTCCTTAGCCTCCCTAGGCAGCATGCCCAGGGGTGGGTGTGGGTAGACATCCAGGGTCATCGAGGACCGGTCACCCTGGTCCAGCTCACTGATACTGTAGCGGCGCATCAGTTTCCTGTAGTTGGGAGCACCCAGGCACTCGCCCCCCGAGGCACACGTGGTCAGGCATGAGACACCACTCTCAGGATCTGATCGGCATTCTCGGGACTCCAGGCTGGTGGAACGGATGCGCTGGACATTGCTGGGGCTGCTAAGGCTCAAGCCTGGGCCGGCCTCTGGCTGCCTCTGGGTAGGGAGGACCCTGTCCCTCTCCCTCCCTGGGAGGCTGGGCACCGGCGTCTGGGCTGCTTGGGGCCGGCCCCCGCGGCAGATGCGCTTGCAGTCACAGCTGCGCCTCTGCTCACGGGACATGCCAGGCCCCTGCTGAACAGGGCTGCTACGGAGCTGGCAGCTGCAGCGGCCAGGTGCTGGAGGCTGCAAGTACTCGGTGCCCGGCAGGTCCCCCTGGCTTGGTGGCTTTAGAAGTTCCTCGAGGAACTCCAGCTCATACTGCTTTACCTTCTGCAGCTGGGCCTGCCGCTCATCTGTCTCCTTCTTCTGGCGGGTTGGGAAGGTGGCAGAGAATAAATTGCGAAGCCGGAAAGGACCTCGGGAGGACTTGGGCTTTGCAGGGCCTTCTGAGACTGAGTGAGCTCCATTCAGAGTGGTTTCAAGCTTCCTGGAGGGCATGGTGCTCACCTGCCGGCTGACGGTCTGAGGCCTCAGTGGGCTCTGGCCTCGAAGCTGGCAGCTGGGGCTCTGGCCACGAGGCTGGCAGCTGGGGCTCTGGCCACGAGGCTGGCAGCTGGGGCTCTGGCCACGAGGCTGGCAGCTGGGGCTCTGGCCTCGGGACTGGCTGCTGGGGCTGTGGCTTCGCTGTTGGCAGCTGGGGCTCTGCAGAGCCATGGGATAGCTAACTCGGGGGACCAGGCTTGTGTCCTCAAGCTTGCTGCTTTTGGGTGTGGTCTCCAGCTGCCCCTTCTCCCCCTGGCTGGAGACAGCGCCCTGCTTGTGCAGGGCAGGCTTAGCACCCTCGGGTCCACCTTTGCCTGTCACCTCCCCTGTAGCTTGCTTGCCCACTGACTCTCGACTCGCTCGCAAATGATAGCTTTTGGGAGGAAAATTTTGAACAGGCAGCCTGTCCTCTTGTGAGGAGAGGTGCAGGCTGTCAGCCCGGCTGCCTGTGGGTGCTCGGGGGCTGGAAGAAACCTCTGGGCAGAGCTGTTGCTGGGAATTCTGTGAGATTTCTGGAGCACCAGGGCTCATTTTGAACTTTAGGTTCTTATTGGCACTGCCACTCATCATGCTAACCTCTGGCCTCCCCATGCTGGCCTCCAGCCTTCTCTCCCCTCTGCTGGGGGGGTTTCCCAAAGCCCCACCAGGGGTGGCTAGACTCTTACTGTGAACCACCTGCTGTAGGGCAGCTGAGATGATGGCTGGGGTCACATTGCCCTTTGGGTCCAGGATAAGCTTGGGGCTCAACCTGACCTCCTTAGGCAGGTTCTCCCTCAGATCAGAGACCTGCTCTTCACTGAGAGATGGTGTGGCCGCCCTCAGTGACATCTCTAGGCCTGCCCTAGTGTGGCTAGGCCCTTTGTCCTCAGGAACTGGGGACAGCAGGCTCAGATTCTTCTGCTCACTAAGCTGGGAGGACAGTGCTGGGTGCACTGCCAAGGAATATGTGCGCTCTCCCTGTGCCTGGTTTTCTGACTGGGGCAGCTTCCTTCGAGCGCCAGGGGGACCAGGACTCTGGCCTGTGATAACTGGCTGGAGAGATGAGTTGGGATCCGGGCGCCCAAGAGAATAAGGGGCCGTAAGAACGGCCTGGGCTGCACAGCTCTGGATCCGGAAGGGCAGGTCCTTGCGGGCAAGGAGGCTGTCCTTGTTGAGGTGCTGGGCCAGGAAGTAGGTGGTGTTCTGGTGTTGCTTCATGGCCGACATCATCTCTGACATGTCTGTGAGCTCAGAAGAGTTGGTCTCATGGCCCGAGTCCAGTGATGATTCGGGAGTGATTGTGGCCAGCACAATCAGACCTGGAAGAACAGGGACAGGGCTTGTTACACTTACTAAGATCAGATTCTTTTCCAGTCATACACAACTGTCCATTGGTATCCATGGGGGATTGGTTCTAGGATCCCCAAGGATTCCAAAATCCATGGATGCTCAAGTCCTTTATATAAAATAGTGTAGTATTTGCATACATCCTCCTGTATACTGTAAATCATCTCTGGATTACTTATAATACCTAATATAATGTAAATGCTCCTTAAATAGTTGTACTATATTGTTTAGGGAGTAACGACAAGAAGAAAAGTCTGTCCATGTTTAGTACTAATGCAATCATCCATTTTTCCCCGAATATTTTTGATTTGAGGTTGGTTGCATCAGCAGTTGTGAAACCCTCCAATATGGAGGGCGGACTGTATAGATTGGCATGGAGGCCAAGGTTAGCAGCAGGATTTCCAGCTGGGGGAAATCCAGGCCTGAAGGTGGGAGGAGTAGAGGGGAGGGGACAAAGAGGGGAAAGTTATGAGAAGGGGGATGAATGGCTAGAATCCAAAAGAGAAACAAAAGAGGTGAAGAGATGATCTGGGCAGTTTGATGGCAAATCAACACGTGAATCACATGCAAAACAACATGCTAATCAACACTATTTTTAGATTCAACAGCTAGGAAATTTTTGTTAATTGTCCTAAAGTGGGGTTGGCAAAGAGAGGTCCCTGTCTATCTCTCCTCATCTGGCCAGGCCTGCCTACAGTCTCTGCAGCTGAGACCATTTAGCTGAGCTTGTCCTCTCTCTGGCAGCCACAGGGGCCTCAAGCCTAGAACTGCTACGGCTTGGAGCTCCAGACGCTAAGCAAAGAGAACTGCTGGCCCCCAGGGGAGGAGACAAACACATGGGGGCTGACCAAGGTCAAGGCTGTCCTCATGTACAGGCAAACTCCAGTCCCTTCACTCTCTCTGTCCACACTTTCCCCTGCCTCATGTGCTTTCTCAATTCCTTCCTCCCTACTCCTTTTCTGTTGTGGTATCATGTACCTTTTCTTTTTCTTAAGGTGTACGTGCATGGAGGTATGCATGTGTGACTGTGGGTACACGTCGGACATGTGTGTTTGTCTACAAGATGGATGTGTACGTGTCTATAACAGGGAATAGCATGCATGCTACCTGGTTCTCCCAGCAACTAATATTTAATAGCAACAGCTACTACTTACAGAGTCCTTACTGTGTGCTAGATAGTACTTAAATCCTTTGCATGAGCGATCTTCAGTCTTCACAATAGCCCTATGTGATACACCTGTTGCTATAAGACCGATTTAAGGTGACAAAAGTGAGGCTCAGATGGAGTAAGTGCCTCGCCAAAGGTCACACTGGCAGGGAGTCAAGACACCAGGACTTGGGTGCATCTGATTCAGAGCCCATGCTATCAGGCAGGATAAAGTCTCAGCCCTAAGCCGTGAAAGCTCTTGGCTTCTCTGATCCCAGGGCCCTAGGTGGTGAGTCGGTCATTTTGTTTTTCTTCCAGTCATGGGCATACTGGATGTTCTTTGCCTGTCTTCTATATGTGTCATAATTTTCCTCTGATCCTTCATCCTGGCCTGGATCAGTAGCTGTCATCGTCCCAATCCCTGGGATCCATCTGCACAACATTTCCACAGAGATGCAATGGCAAGAGCCTGAACTCTAGCTAGAGCTGAGCAGCTGAGTCCTGCTGCAACGTGGCTGCTCCCCTGACCTTGTCTCAACTACTTCTGGCCCATCCATTGCCCTGACACACCACGCTGACTTTGACATCTGCTTGGGAGGGCACAACGTTACCTGCTGGCCCTTTTTGGCCAGGAAAGGAGTCAAGAGGGAAGAGGAATGGGTTGTTACCTGCAGTCTGTGGGGGTTGGGGGTGTGGTCCGTCCTCTGATGCAGCCAGGGCTTCCAAAGCCTGCAGAGTGGACACCAGGGCATCATCTAGCTCCTGAGCATGATCTCGGACTGTCCGGGTCTGCACGCTGTCAATTAGTGTCACTGGAATCTCATCATACAGGAGCCCACGCAGGTGGCGTCCTTGCTCCTGGCTCTGGACAGCCCGGCGCTTGGGGTCATCCTCATCAGAGCTGTTGTCTCGGAAGCCAGGGGGTGGGGCAGCAATGGCAGGCAACAAAGAAGTTGTCTCATCTTCTTCCTCCTCCTCCTCCTCACTCCCTGGCGGTGGGAGGGACATCAGATCTACTATATTGTCACGAGAGGAGCCAGGCCTTCCGCCTTTGCGTGGGCCCAGTTGTTCCTGCAGTTTGGCTTTGCAAGAGTCACAGTAGAAATTCAGGGCTTCTGCCCCAAGGGAATTGTCCAAGGTGTAGGACCGGGCCCTGCTGGCACAAGGCTCATGGTCCAGGCTGGCTGCATCAAAGTCATCGGGGACTACATCGTAACCTTGGCCAGAGCTTTTGGATGTGGGGTCAGACTTGGTCCGGGGCCTGCTCTCCTCAAAGAAGATTAGGTTCTCATTGACATCCGTCCGGCTTTCCTGCTCCTTCCTTTGTTCCCGCATGTGGAGGTAGCAGAAGCTGACAAGCTCAGAGTCGGCAGGCGGGGGCGTGCAGCGGCTCGACTTCCTGGGGCTGGGGCCCACGCTGCCCACATAACTACTCTCCTTTTTCCCCAGGTGGCCCCCAGTGACAGGGCGGTGGGCGCTGTGCATGTAATCTAAACCCAGAAAGAGAATCGACAGTTGAGCCCTGGCGCTGAGGACTGTGGCTGAGCTGCCTTGGCATCTCTGGCCCATGTCTCTGCAGCACGATTGAGGGGCAGGTACTCAGAGAAAGCATTACCTAGCCGCTAGAGATAGGAAGGGGAGTTGATGGGCCTTGTCTCTGCTGACCCTGAAAGGAAAGCAAGGAGCATCTAATGGCCTGAGCCGCTCATGGCCCCATCACCTCTGAAATGGGAAAAGGCATGGAGTGAGGTAGGGGTGGGGATGAACGCCTTGGTGTGTGGGCACAGTGGGACTTTTACGTGGATACCTCTAGTCTGATTGTCAGCTCTAAACATATTTAAAGAGGCGAGATTTGTTTTCTGTCCTCCTTGGAACTGTTCTTGCCCCTGCCCCCAACCCTTTCGGAGCCTTTCCAACTGCCAGTGCTCTGTTGCTCTTTGGGTTATCTTGGATTTCCTCTAGTAGAAGGGAATAAATCTGACAAGCTACTAAAGCTTTAGTGGGAAAGTGTTAAACAGGCTACATACAATCCCAAGAGTTTGCATTTCAAAGAGGACTGTTGAAAGTGGGAAGCTGAAACAACAACTGGCTCTATTAGTATCATAGAATTCCCCACATCAGAATGTGTGAAGTGTATAGGAGATGCCGAAGGTACATGAAGCAGGGAGGTGAGTGAGGGGTGCTAGTTTGCTTTTCTTTCCTTCTTTCCCTTCTCTTCCTTCCCTCCCTCCTTACTTCTTTCCTTCCTCCCTCCCTTCCTTCCTTTCTCCCTCCCTTCTCTCTTTCCTTCCAACCCTCCCTTTCTTCTTTCTTTCGATGGGGTCTTGCTCTGTTACCCAGGCTGGAGTGCAATAGCTTGATCACAGCTCACTGTAACCTTGAACTTCTGGGCTTAAGATCATCCCACTTCAGTCTCCCTAGTAACTGGGACTTCAGGTGCAGGTCACTAAGTCTAGTTAATTTCTCTCTGTCTATTAAGAGGCAGGATCTTGCTTTGTTGCCCAGGCTGATCTTGAACTATTGGTCTCAAGAGATCCTCCCACTGCAGCCTTCCAAGTATCTGAGAACCATCCACCATGCCCAGCTTTGGGAGCATCCCTGTAATTCTTCACATCTTATTACTTTTCTATATTCATGCAGGGCCAGCCCTGTCTGCTATACATTCATGTGGTAAATACTCTCATCAGTGGCTCTTAATGCCTGTAGGTGTATGCATCTGAGAACTGTCCATAGCAAATAAATGCCTTATCTCTGAATAGCTTCTCTGTCTCACTCTGTATTGGGAGCCCTTTCTCATGTTATCAGTGAGCATATACTCAGACATTGCTAACTCATTCTGCTATCAGCAGATAGGTAACAAACAAATACTAACTTAGGCTAAGGTCATTACATATAACCCCATTTAATCCTCACAACAACCCCGGGAGGTAGCCATTATTATTATTATCCCTATTTTACAGAGAAACAAGCTGACCAACATGGTATGTGACTCAGCCAAGGTCACATGGGTCATAAGTGGCAGTCTAGATCTGAGCCCAAGTCCAATTTGAGGGACTTCAAAAGTCATATTTTTAACTGTTATCCTTGTAGCTCATCATGGTGGTCAAGACGCTGGAAAACAAGACATCAAAATGCCTTTCCAACTCCAGTTTGATAGAATCAGTATGTCAGTGTTACCTTTCACCAGAGCTTATAGCTATGACAAAAGCACAGTGCTGGCACCTAACAATAGCACACCAAAACACACGAAGCAAAAATGGAACTGAAGGGAGAAATAGACATTTCAATGACAATAGCTGGGGACTTCAATACCCCACTTTCGATAACAGACAAAACAACTATGCAGACTATCACCAAGGAAACAGAGGACCTGAGCAATACTGTAAACCAACGAGACCTAATATAAATCTATTGAACACTCCACCTAATAGCAGAATATATATTCTTCTTAAATGCACATGGAACACTGCCCTAGACAGAACATGTTAGGCCTTAATATAAACCTCAATACATTTAAAAGGAATGAAATCATACAAAGTATGTTTCCAGAGCACAACAGAATTAAATTACAAATCAATAACAGAAGGAATTTTGAAAAATTCACAAGTGGAAATTAAACAAAACACTCTTAAATAACCAATATAAGAAATTAGAAAATCCTTTGAGATGAATGAAAATGAAAATACAACATACCAACACTTGTGGGATCTAGCTAAAATAGTTCTTAAAGGAGAAATCTATATTAAAAGTGCCTGCATTTAAAAAGAAGAAAGATGGCTTGGCATCTGTAGCTCAGTGAGTAGGGTGCCAACCACATACACCGAGGCTGGCAGGATTGAGCCCAGCCCAGGCCTGCTAAACAACAGTGACAATAGCAACCAAAAATAGCTGTTATGGCGGGCACCTGTAGTCCTAGCTACTCAGGAGGCTGAGGCAAGAGGATCGCGTAAGCCCAGGAGTTTGAGGTTGCTGTGAGTTGTGATGCCCAACACTCTACCAAGGGTGACATAGTGACACTCTATCTCCAAAAGAAGAAAAAGAAGAAAGATTTCACATCAACAACTTAAAGTTCCACCTTAAGAAACCAGAAAAAGAAGAAGAAAGTAAACCCCAAATGAGCAGAAGGAAAATAATAACAAAGCATAGAAGATACAAAAAAATAGAGTAGGGAGGTGCCTGTAGCTCAAAGGAGTAGGGGGGCCAGCCCCATATACTGGAGGTATTGGGTTCAAACGTGGCCCCAGTCAAAAAGAAAAAAACCGCAAAAAAAAAAAAAATAATAATAATAATAAATAAAAGAAAAAATAGAGAAAATCATTGAAACTAAAAGTTGGTTCCTTGAAAGTAATCAATAAATTGACAAACTTTTAGCTATATAGACCAAGCCAAAAAAAAGAGAGAAGACTCAAATTACTAAAATCAAGAATGAGAGGACATGGCTACCAGATAAGGAATCAGTTATAAGTGAATATGGTGAATAAGGTGTGAACAAATTAGATAACCTAAATGATATGGAAAATTTCTTAGAAATATACAATCAACAAAAACTGATTCAGGAAGGTAGAAAATCTGAATCAGCAATAAGAGGAAAATAAATTGAATTAGCAATTAAAAATCCTCCCTCCTCAAAAAAAAAAAAGCCTAGGCCCAATGACTTCCTTGGTGAATTGTATCAAATGCTTAAAACATGCATTTATACCAATGCTTTGAAAACTCTTTCAAAAAACAGAATAAGGAACACTTCCTAACTCATTCTATGAAGCCAGTATTATCCTGATCCCCAAGCCAAAGACATCGCAAGAAAACTACAAACCAATATCTCTTATGAATATAGATATAAAATTGCTCAACAAAATACTAGCAAACTTAATTCAGCAAAATATGAAAAGAATTATACACCATGACCAGGTAGGATTCATTGCAATAATGAAAGTTTGGTTTAATACCTGAAAATAAATTAATATAATACACCATCACCTCTTTTACCCAACGAAAGCTATGTTGTTTAGCAGGATGTAAGCACTCCAATTTGTACAAATAATCAACACATTGAATCCCATAATGGCATAAATGTATTTATGATCTATGTACAAATGACTTAATAAAAAAATATAATACACCATGTTAATAGACTAGGGGAAAAAAAACCTCTGTATCTGAATAGGTACTGAAAACCATCTGACAAAAATCCAACATCCTGGCTCAGTGCCCATACCACAGTGGTTACAGCGCCAGCCACATACACCAAGGCTGGCGGGTTTGAACCCGGCCGGGGCCAGCTAAAACAACAATGACAACTGCAACAAAAAATAGCTGGGCATTGTGGCAGGTGCCTGTAGTCCCAGCTACTTAGGAGGCTGAGGCAAGAGAATCAATCGTTCGAGCCCAAGAGTTTGAGGTTACTGTGAGCTGTGATACCACGGCACTCTACTAAGGGGGACACAGTGAGACTTTGTCTCGAAAAGAAAAAAATATAACACCTTTTCGTGATAAAACACTGAACAAACTAGAAATAAAAGGGAAGTTCCTCAACATAATAAAGGTTATCTATAACAAACTCACAGATTACAACATACTTGATTCACATGTAGTGCTGTAAACTTTCCCCATAAGATCAGGGAAAAGACCAGGATGTCTATTCTCATTGTATCTTCCTTTTATTTTTTTGCAGTTTTTGGCCAGGGCTGAGGCTTCGAACTCACCACCTCTGGTATATGGGGCTGGCGCCCTACTCCTTGAGCCACAGGCACCACCCTATTCTCATTACTTCTATTCACTACTTTACTGGAAGTCCTAGCCAGGACAATTAGGAAATAATATGAAAAATAAGGTTTCCACATTAGAAAGGAAAAAGTAAAACTATTTCTTGTAGAATACAAGCTCAATATACAAAATCAATTGTATTTGTACATACTAGCAATGAACAATATAAAAATGAAATTAGGAAACAATTATTTACAATACCATGAAAAAGAAAAAATAGGTATAAATTTAACAAAAGAAGAGTAAGACCTGTCTACCAAAAATTATAAAATACTTGCAAAAGAAATTAAAGGAGATTTAAATAAATGGAAAGATAGTCTAAGTTCATAGATTGGTAGACTTAATTATTATTATTTTTTTTTGAGAAAGAGTCTTGCTATGTCACCCTCAGTAGAGTGCTGTGGC